CCCCAAAACCCCAAAACCCCAAAACCCCATAAAATTTAAGATTTATAGAATTAAAGAAATTCTGTAATTGAGGTAAGCACAGTTGATTATTTCGGCACAGGAATGGAACTAGGAAAGCAGAATCTCCAAGTAGCTCTCGTTGGGAGGCAGGTTACCCCAAACAGCCAAGCCTATTCACTTGAAAAAGACCAGAAGATTCAGAAATACTCCAGTTCAACCAGTTCTAATTCCCAAGATGGAATGAAATCGATATATTCGGAATATGGAGTGGGTTCTAAGATGAAAATTGGCACTCTGAAGATTGTTATTATCGCAATCTTATTCCTTATCTTGGACTTTATCTTCAGAGAGGATATTTTTGAGTATGAAATACAACTCTTGAGCTATCTAAGGGCAAATATTCAGAGTCCAGGCTTTTATACTTTTTGCAAGTCAATTCTTTGGCTGACTGAGTTGGAGACAATAAAAATCTTGTGAATCATTCTCTACTTCTTTATAGACCCAATGATCGCATTCAAAACAGGAATTCTTACTTACATTGCTATATATGCAAGTGTAAATTTGAAATTTATGTATGCTATTCCTAGACCGTTTTGGATTGATCATACAATCGATGTAACAACCTGAAGCTTAGACTTCTCAGGCCCTTCAGACCATACTTGCATTGGTTCTTTCTTTTACACATATGCTACCTTATACTACTACTTCATCAATGAAGACAAAAGATTTGACAGTGAAGAAAGTGTTAGCAGTGATCCTGGATGGATCTCAAGACATAAGAATCAAATCAATATCTTCCTTTGCATATCAATTATAGTAATTGTAATGCTGTTTACAGGATTTTCTTTGTTCCTCCTTGGCCAGACTTTCATGTTCGAGTCTACGATAGGGATCATCTATAGTATCCTCTTTGCTCTATTCTGTTTGAAGGTGGATAACCAGTTTTATAAATATTCCTATAACACAGCTTTTAATATCGAGAAATCAAGGAGGTATAAATTCCTCCTATTATTTATCTGAATTGGTCTCTTCAGTTCAAACTTACTCATAAAGCAGTTGACAGAAGATAAGAACCTAAGTTTCTCTAAATGGGCTCAAGCACCTTGAATTGTAGAAAATGGGACTCATCTGAGATATGACCTTGGAGGAGATTATACCTTCTTTGATAATTACATTTTGTTCATGATAGTTGGATGTGTCTTTGGTTGAGCATTTGCATCCTCCCAAATAGATGACTTCTTGAGCAGAGAAACAAAGACATATAAGAAAGTAATTCGGACCATAATAGGTTTAATCATCATCTTGGGAATAGAGCTAGGATCTCAAGCAATTCCTGTTGATAATTATCTCACCGAATTCATATTTAGATATGGCCTTCCAAATTATGTGATGGGTTATTTTTGATACGGAATATACCCAATAATCTGGCAATACCTTTGTCTTCTTGGAGATGCTGAGAACTATAGTACTGATGAATCAGAGTTAGACCAGCAAGAGGAATCTCATATCCAAGAAGAGAGTCACCAAACATCTGTTTCTTCTACTAGACAGGAAGGTAAGTGGATTTCTATTCAACATTTCCTTAATTTGATAGATACAGGGGTGTTACCTCCAATTGCAATCAGAAATCTTGACTCAAACAGCAGAGCCACTAGCGGGAATGATGATCTCGAGACTACTAAAAAAATAAAAAATCTTAAGCTAAAGAGAATAAATCTAGAAAGACGAGACATCGATTTCTTTAAGCCTGAAGAACCCTAAGAGCTTTTGAATAATTAGAGTTGCACTTTGGGAGAATATTGAAATGAAATATCCAGGATTCGAGAGAGTTTCTGGGGTTTTGGGGTTTTGGGGTTTTGGGGTTTTGGGG